TGTGGTATATATTTCTATGAATTTTAACACATATATAGACTCATTTAGCTGCCACCACAAATAAGATACAGAATAGTTTCATCTCCCTGATGCTGTCCCTTTATAGAGTCACATCCTCTCCTAACCCATAACCCCGGGCAACCACTGAAAACCAGTTTCCCATCACTACAGTTTTGTCTTTTTGAGAACTCCCTTTACTTTTGCTATTCCCTTTCCTTAAAATTTTAACGGCAATATCTGCATGTTTATATGTGGGTGCAAAGAACTCCAGATCCAATGCCAGCAGACTTCCTCCTCTATTATTATTGTTATTTGCTGTTGCTAACATTTATTAGCATCTATTATGTACCAGGCATGTGTACTAAGCTTTTTACATACATTATCTCATTTTAATCTTATAATAGCCTTATGATACATGTATGCTATTGTTATTTCCATTATACAGAAATGGAAACTGATGGTCAGAGAGGTTAAGTGACTTGCCTAAGGCCTCACAGCCAACAAATAATTGAATCCCAGCACAGACCCTGCTCCATTTGACCACAGTCCTTAAACACTACAGTAAGGAATTAAAGGGAGGGAGTTGTAACTAGCAAGGAGGTATGTCAAGAGATTTTGGGGGCAGAGTCAATATGGGGCCATGTGGTCTTTCCAAAGGTTTGCAAGTGTGTGTGAAGCTGGAGAGCCATCTCCATCTCCTGAATTCTCAGCCCCAGTTCCTGCCTTTGTCTCCCTCCATCTGCCCCATGTGGTCCCCGCCGACCCAGGTGACACCTACCTGCTGTTTGTAGGGGCTTAGGATGGTTTCAGTCCCTTTGCAAATGTAGCAAAAACCACTCTCTGTGTCACGGCTTTGCTGCCGGACACAACAGCTGAGACTCAGAAATGGGGGCTGGTTTCCTTCTGGTTTCTACCAGCCCCAATTCCCCCATGTGCTCTCTGACCTCATTTTCCCCCTCGGTTGCTTGCAACACCAGCTGAAAAAGTTTCTGGGAGACAGTCACCTGGTCTGTGTGCTGGAGGTGGCAGGTGTGTTCTCGCTGAGGTAGGGCAAGTGAGATAGGAATGTGTGTGGTTGGCATGCTGCTCAACAAAGAAGGGAGAAAGTCCGGCCCTGCCAGACCCAGGGCGGCAACTGTTGTGTTGTGGGTAGTGGGAAGCAGGGGAAAGGAAAGATGGAAGTTCATGAAGAATGGGTGGTGCTGGGAAGTGGACCAGGGTCTTGCCCTGCATGTGGTGTTCCTTTGAGCGTGCTGTTTGCAGAAGTGATGTTAGCTGGCAAGTGTCCTCCTAGAATCAACTCCTAGCTCCCAAAGGGTCTTGGAAGAGAGCTGCCAAGTGAGCACATGCTGGAAGAATCACACACCTGATTCATGGCCATAGACCATTTGGAGACAAAACAAGCCAGAAGTCAGGGTACCAAGAACCGTCTCTGGAAGACACCTAGTTAACACTTAAGAGGTGAAAGAGGGCGTGTAATTTAGAGTGGAAAGTGTTGAGTCACTTCAATAACAACAGGTTACACTTATGGAGCACTTAATCTGAGCCAGTCACTGTGCTAAGAGCTAAGTGACATGAATCATCTCATTTATTTCTCACAACAACACTCTGCAACAGGTATTACTATTACCTCCAATTTACGGATGGAGAGTTGGAGGCCCTGAGGTTTATGTGACTCACTGAAATTATACTATTGAGGAGAAGAAGCAAGATTTGAATACTGGTATTTTCAAACTGAAGCTCGCAAACACTTCGCTTCATCGCCTTCTTGCCCATCTTAATCCAGAAATACTGTTAAAGGGTATCAGAGGGAGGAGGAAGAGAGATCAGGTACTCAGGAGCCCAAAATCTTCTCAAAGGCTTGCAAAGGACCTTGATGGCAGTCTGGGAAGGAATAGGAACCAGTGGGGTTTCCAGTCACGGGCCTCCCAGGAGTCTGTTGATCTTACCTGCTGGTCTGAAATAATTGCATGCTGTAGAAACCTACAGCCATTTCTCAAGTTTCCTTTTTACACAATAGGCTTGGGAGGGTTTCAGACAGGCAGGCACAATGGGCTGTTTTTTCTGTCTTGGGCTGGCACCGTGAAGTGGGACTGCTGGTTCCACCCTCGCATGCTGGCTGGCACAAGGAGCACCACACCAAAAGATCTTGATGAGCTTGTTCATCAGAGGAGCCTATGTTCACTAGAGTGAGCAGGGAAGACTTTGGACTTGAGAGCTGACGGAGAGGAAGTGAAACTTGCTCATTCAGAGTGCCAGGCTAACATGAGGGCTTCTGGAAGAGATGTTTTACAAAGTGGTACCTGTGACAACAGGTCATTTATGTCCCCGTAGAGGAGGCACTTTATACTTAGTATCACCCTGGTCTGGACTCATCATGGACTCAACTTCAATAACAACACTTACGATGCTCTCCAGCAAGGGCTATCACTCCTTCTGTGTTTTGTAGAATGCCTCATGCACAGCAGGCCACAATAGACAGTCAATAATAATGTTTACTGTGATAACGATCTTCCAAATGCCTTTCATCTACGGATCTCAAAGTGCTTGGTAAACACTAATTAGTTAGGTCTAGGGATAGCTCTCTGTTTTTACAGTGCATTTTCCTATTTTACAGAAATTTAAATTGAGACCCAGCAAACTTAAGTGGCTTGCCCTGAAGTCATACAGCAAGTTTAAATTAATGATAAAAACGATGCTTTGCATTTCATGTCATGCATACGCATTCCATAGCAAACGTTTTCTAAGGTGATCTGAGTGTGTGGAAGCAGGTGGGTAGCGAGTGTTATTAATTGCTGAGACTACATTGGGTAAACTGAGTCCAGAGGGTGCGTCTCCTGAGTGAGGGTGCAATCCCACTCTGCTGACTCTCAGAACAGAGTGGGGCAGCCCCGGCCATCCTCAAGTCTCTGAACTGAGGGAGGCATGGCTGCTCTCACACATACAGGAAAGAAAGCTGTATTTTGGGAGAACAGGTTGCAGAATGACAGCCATCGTTACATCCAGGAATGAGTCTGTTCATGTCCCCACTGAGAGAGGCTACAGGGATGAGGTGTGGCAAAGGTAGGAAAGGCAGGCTCAAGGAAACGAAGAAAAGGCGCGGATGGGGTGGCTGCCAGCCCTGCTCGCTGGCATCCTTAGGAAACCAGGTCCTTGCTGAAAGGGCTTGGTTCCTTGTTTCAGCCTCACGGGCAGGACTTGGTCTGGTGAGACGTGGGGGAGGGGCTGTCACTGGCACTTTGCTCCGATGTTACAAGTCCCTGTGAAAGAGTTCCAGGGACATGCAGTATCTTAGCGGCTGTCTCTTACGTAGGACCAGCCCTGATCCCCACAACTCCCTCTGCCAGGAGGGGCCTGGAATCCTCTAGGGCACAACAGCTTGGCAGCTGTGGATCCATCCGTTGCTACCTTTTCTTAGCAATATAGCCACACGGAAAAAGGCAAAAACATGAACAAACACATTAGGCGGCGATAAGGGACCTGCCTCCTCCCAGTCTGGCAACACGTTCTTAGTGAGTAATGACGCTCTGCCAAGAGGCAAGTCCGACTCTGCAGCGTGGGGGAGGGGAGAGGTTGCTGCGTCTTAGGAATTCAAAGGGAGTTTTGCCGCTGGAGATAGAGCCCATTCTCTATGAGATTCTCCATAAACCACCCCCCACCCCACCTTTCCCAAGCCCGTGGATTCTGACGGATGCCGAGGCCTAGTGGGGAGCCTCCAAGAAGGGTGCCAGGCCCTCTTCTGGAATGTGTTTCACACACACAGGCACAGTGGCGATGAAAAGTCTGCAGGGATGAATTCATGCCAATGCCAGCTTCTTCCCGCTCACACTTTTGAATGTTCCCACACTCTCCTACTGCCCGGGGGCTTGAAGGCGCCGCGAAGCAAAGGAGGGGTGAGCTGTTACAAGAAATAGTTTAGAAAGCTGTTTGAATGCACAGCACTAGCCTGCTCTCCGCTGGGGAGGAATCGGGAAGACACTCCCTCCCACTGCCACTCTTCCCCGCGGGGAGTCCTGGGAGTCTGCGGCCAGAATGAAAGCTCGCTTTAGGTAAGACATCACAGCACGCAGCTTTGACTTTCTAAGTATGCCAGCGACTCAGGCCACAGCTTGCCAAGTCCACTCTGGCGCACTGACTGCTGGGGTGACAGTGCAAATTGTCCTGCTGGACTGGCAAGGACCACATCCTTCTGAGAGATGTGCCCTAGCACAACTTCCCCCAACAAGGCTCCCAGCCAGGTCGCACCAAGTCCCCGGGATGCGCCTGCCCGGCTGGACAGAGCGATTGCACTGTCCAAACACCAAAAGCATCCTTGGGTCATGTCCTACACGGCTCTCCTGGCTCCGTTTGCTTTTATACTGCAGCCACTGACATGCATTTTATGTGTTTTGTTCATTCTGTAAAGTAAGACACATCCGTTGTACGCCCCAGCCTTCCTGTCAGCCAGTCCACCCACACAGACGCTCCCTCCTGCACCACCTCCGGGCGGCAAGAGTCTTGATAGCTTTGAATGGATTGTGAATGAACACTGTCATAATAGCACTTTATGGCCGGGTCGGGGTGGGGGCGGGAAGATGGATTTGGGTAGCATGCAAACGGAACCTGACATTTGGAAACTTCTCAGAGATTCCCCAAAGCAACAAGCAGTTGGATTTGTTTTCCCCTCTCTTTCCCATCCTTCCTGCCTTTTCCAGGCACTGGGTTGGCCTCAGAACAGAAGTAAAAGACCAACAATATAATCAAGGAGGCTTTCCTTATCCTACTACCCTCTGCACGAGGGACCGGGAAGCTTTCACAATTCTAAGAACCACAGGAAGGATTAGATAGGTCAGGATCCCACCAAATTTCAGTCGAAGGATCACTGCCCACAGAAACTTATCTCTCAGGAATCCTGGCGGCACCGCTTTTGAAACGTAACTGAAAGCGATAAACCCTAACTGCTGGCACACACAAATCCAACCTCCAGGTGGACACGAAAGAACAAAGGAGCTCTTGCTTACCCCATCCATGTGGATTCTGATGTTGGGCACAAGTCGGAACGGGCTGGCCTGCAGACCTCTGGGGTGAGTCCTGCTCTTCCTGCCGTCCTGCAAGGCCAGCACGCCAGGCCTGCGGAAGGAGCCCCCTCTCCCGGAGCTCGGCCCCGAGCGCACGCCGTCCAGCAGGCGCACGAGCAGCAGGTTGGCCGGCAGCGCCTCGATGCTGCCAAACACCAGGGTCCTGCATTCGGGGCAGCGCAGCCCCTTGTGGGCCTTGGAGATCCTCTGGAGACATGGTTTGCAGAAGGTGTGCTGGCAAGGGAGGACTTTGGCTGTGACATCGAGCTTTTCCAAGCACACGGGGCACTCCAGGAGATCAAGTAACGTCAAATCATCCATCTTATTTTAAAACTCTAGTCCTGACCCGGAGGGGCAGAGTCCACATGGTAGGGTCAGCCGAGCCAAAGGAGCAGAGACGAGCTCTTGAGAGCGTCCAAACTCCTGCCTGTTTGCGGGAGAGAGGAAGAGAGGAGAAATGTGAGTGCTCAGAGAGAGAGATTCCACCTACATGGAGGCAGTGTCTCACCAGGCAGTTTGCGAGCACTTTGTGCCAGCACCCAAGTTTCAGTGACTCATTCTGATTCAGTGCTGGCAGGTACAAGACCGACTCCTGCTGCCGGAGGATCCGAGGGAGCATTCAGCTCAGCTCGCTTACTCACTGCCTCCCATGTGCAAGGCGAGAGCACGGAGCAACACTGGCCTAGGAAGTGGCACCCCCATGCTCTCTCCCAGCCAGGCTCGAAGGGGGTCCTTTACCCTCCAGACGGGAAGTCTCAGCTGTCATTCAGAGCGCCCTCAGAATGCAGTGTGTGTGGAGTGCTACTATCTCCCCGTCCTCCCTCCCCGAGGTTTAAGTTTATCGTCTGCAGCACATGCAGGTAGGTTACAGTTACGTAGATACGTTTATCTGAAGCTCATGCAGATGCAGAAATATTTCCTTCACAGTGCATCTCCCCCTGCACTTTGTTCTAGCAAAGGTACAAGAAAAGCGACAAGAAACCGGTTTTCAAAGACAGAGACCATAGCCTCAGAGGTAGTATTCCTCCCACAAGATAAAGTCAAGCAGCCTGTTTAGTTACTTTGACAGTTGTTCTCAGTTTCAACTGAAGCAGATAGCAATTCTGGATTGCGTAAATAACAAGACGGAGCAGAGTATACGGGTGTGTGTGTGTGTGTGTGTTTTCCAGAAAGCTTCCTTTAGAAAAGCCTCCTGGGAATAGGTCAGCCGCCCCTCACAGTTGCTGTTGCCATTGCTGAGGCTTGGGTGAAGGCAGCAGCCAGGAGGTTGGGCAGGAGGGGGGGGGGGGGGGGCGCTCTAGGAAGCAGAGCAGACCTGACACACCAGGATGAGAGATGGCGCCTCGCCTGGCCTTCCCAAGACAACTCTCCAAAGATGTCAGCACTGGGGAGGTGTGCGGCAGCCACTAACCTTGAGCTTGTAACCGCAGCTGAGTTTAGCTCAGCTGGATCCTGATCCTCGGTCTGCTCTGTCAGGCTCCCTCCAACTCGCTTTTCCCCGGAGCCAGGAGCCACGCTGCCTGCTGCTGCCTCTGCTTTGAAAACTTTAACAACTCTGAGTCTTACTCATATCAAGGGATCGTCTTGCCCAGCCCAGTTAACCCTTTCACCGCTGGGCGGCCAGCAGCAGGTTTTCTTTGAGTTCGCTCTCTGCTACTGATCCTTCCTTTCTGTAACTGAGTCAATTTCTGGGAAAAGATTCTAAGGGGCAAAGTCTAGGTCAGCCCCGAAGGCCGAGTATTTACAGTTTATGTTTTCACCTTTCTCAGTTTCTCTCCTATCCAAGAAGTGGAAACACGTTCAGTTATAAACACGAGAAGGTGATTGTGCTTATTTAAAACCTTTATAAGAAGTTCTTGAAAAGGCCAAACATATGGATGGTAGCTTTCATAACAGAGATAAGCCGGCCACCCAAAAAGCACTGCTTCTTAATAATTGTAGCCAGTTCTTGAACTTAGAGATTTGAGAGGGACTTCTGTGATCTTTTTGTTCAATCTCTTTAAATTAAAAAAAAAAAGTGTCGTAGTAGTACATACACATCCTTCAAAAATCAAAGCACAATAGGGTTTTAAAAAAGAAAAAGCAATGATCCCAGCTCTCCCCCGACCCCCTAGAGCCGTGCTCGGCAAACTGCGGCTCGTGAGCCACATGCGGCTCTTTGGCCCCTTGAGTGTGGCTCTTCCTAAGCTTTAGGAGTACCCTAATTAAGTTAATAACAATGTACCTACCTATACAGTTTAAGTTTAAAAAATTTGACTCTCAAAAGAAATTTCAATCGATGTACTGTTGATATTCGGCTCTGTTGACTAATGAGTTTGCCGACCACTGCCCTAGAGACTTTTCATAGCCCAAAGTAATGCTTATACTTTTATTTTTTGATTTATCAATGACATTGTTTCATGTAAAATTAAAGTTATTTCATAAAGTAAATAATAATAATATTACTCAAAACTAGAGTAGTCCTTACCTGTGCCGAGCACTGTTCTAAATATTTCACTTCTATCAACTCATTTCATCCTTTTAACAATTCGATGATACACTACTCTCTTCTTTGCCCTCTTTTACAGAGGACAGAACTAAGACACAGAGATTAAATAGCTCATCCCAGGAGTCACAGCTAGCAGGAGGCAGGTGGTCTGCACTCTTAACTACGATGTCATATGGTGATACAGCTTTAAGGGGAGGAGAGATATTTGAAGGGAGCTAACCCTCCTCTGCTATGTCAGGAAGTCAAAAGATAATCACCCAAATTGACCAATCAACGCCTTTTGCAGATGAAGCAGCCTCGCTCAGAGAGATCAAGAGATTCCTTGAAGTTGCCCAGTGAGTTAAGGGCAGAACCTGGACTAAAAACTGGGTGTTGCTTTTTCCTGGGTCTTCTCTCTCAACACAGGATGGCCTATCTTCATGATGCAGAAAGCACTTAGATACAACTCCTTGGGCAAATCTTAAGAGGGGAACAAGAGACCTGAGAACAGATTGTAGTGGTTCACATTTTTCAAAGTTCTTCCAAATCAGTTTTGAAAAAGGAAACATAAATGAAGCTCAAGATAGGGGAGAGCTTCAGGTTGGAGCAAATTAGAGGCCTAATTTGGATACGTGTCAATTTTAGAGACCATTTTTAACTACTTAAAAAAAAAATCTCCTTTTATAGAGGGTTTTTTTGAGCTTCAACATTCTCTCATCTCTCCACTTTTATAGATCCTGTGCGCATCAGGAAGCCTCTGGCAGGCTGAGGCCCTTTGCTGTCCCTCCTCATTTCCCACTGGGCAAAGCTGAGCTTTTTTCTCTGGGGGCGCCCCCTCCCTCCCCCCCCCCCCCCCAGGTCTGCTCTGGTGCCTGAACTGCTGCGGGCATAGATGGGCAACATTCTCCCTCCTTTCCTCTCTTGTTCTTAAACACACTCCCTTAGATGCCCAAATCTGCACCTACATGCACATGCACACGTATGCTTGCACAGGGCCAAGCACACGCATAACCCTAACAGTAACTTTTGTGTGGCACTTGCTGTATGCCATGGACCAGTGCCAAGACTTCAAACAGATTATCTCTACATCTTCCCAACCGCCCCATAAGATAGGTCCTGTGACTTTCCTAGGGTTACAGAGCTTGTGATCTGAACCCAGGTGGGTCCAATCCCAGGACCTGTATTGCTTCCCACGATTGCTTCCCATGTTATAAAGTCATGAACATGCCCTAAGTATATCCATATACCTGTGCTGTATAAATGCACACACATTTATACCTATGTCCATAGCATACACAAGCTGATCACGGGGCTAGCCCCAAATGAAGGGATGACATCAAAGGAACTTGGGCCCCAAACGAAGGGATGATATCAAAGGAACTTGGCCTCCTTTGACAGTCACTCTCTAGACCATGCCCAGTCTCCTGGCCCCTCCATGCTCTCTGAGTTAGTGGTCTGAAAGAGCTTCAAACCCTCCCATCCCTGAGAAAACAGAAACAATGCATTCTGTCCCAGAAAGGCAGGATGGACCCAGGG